ATGTTGCCTGTGGGGGCCGGCAACTCAGCAGGCTCTGCTGGGGCAGCAAGAGGTGCGTACCTGTTGCTTAGTTCTGGTCGGGTAGGGGCCTTCGTGCGGCGGGCCAAGAGATGCAATCTGCTGACTCCTTTGGATCTCATTCCGACACATTTACCTCCTCACACAGTGTACCGGAAACCTACGTAGAGTTTTTGATTCCATTCCAGGTGTTAGACATCTAGAGCATCTTTACATGTGCTCCAAGTGTTGTGGTGGGGAGGGGGGCACTTAAATTAGAGTGGCCACAAGAGCTGCTCTAATTAAAGTGCCTGCAGTGTCTTGTATATTCAGTGCCCTGCGCTTCAAAATGGTGGCAGCGATGTTTTAACTAAAGCCCGTTCAATGAACTTAGTTAAAGTGTCCCCATGGCCATGGGTAACTGGTGCCTCCTGAGTCGGGGGGGCGGGGGGGCACTTGCCCCCCACAGCAGCCAGTCAGCGACCAGAGTGGGGGGTCCTCCCATGGCCAGTTGCACTGTCAGGGGGGAGAGGATCCCCCATGGCAGATCACACCGACTGCAGCCAATCACGTTGACCCAGACATACAACATTAATATGTTGTACATGTGGACAGTATAAGTATGCTAATATTTTAATTTATGTTGTTCAACAGCATGCACTGCTGGAGCCAATCCCACTGCTTGTGTAACCTAGTAAATCTACATTGAGTTTGAATGAGTTATCCAGTGAATTTGGCCTGCCTGCAGAGCTTATTGTTACCAAAAATAAACTCCTGCAAATTCTAGCCTACTCCTTTCTCTTAGCACCGCAGCTGGTGAACACGGAGGACTAAATTATTTGACCTTTGCTTTTCTGTGCTAGAGAAGATAAAGAAATAGCTGCTAAAAACAAAATAAGAATTTCTGAAATATAGAACTCCAGGTAGTTCCTATTTCTATTGTTGTAGCCCATTTCTTATAAAATGTGACTATCAGTTTCATGGCCATTCATATTTTTCCAGGACAACAATGGCCACTCAGTCTCTATTGTCCCAGGTATTAAGGAACCTTTATTGTTTTATTCTTAAACAAGTCCATACATGACTCACAGGGTCCAGCCAAGTCACACTAATTATCTGGCCACATGCCTTAATTCCTTCTTACAATCTCGACATCCCTTCGTAGAATACTATGATTTCTGTGCCTATCACATCACCAGTCTGGCAATGCTTCATCAGCCACCCACACATTCCCTGCTTCATGCTTGGGGGTTTTATTGAATCTAATTGTTTTGGTCCTGGACTCACCATTTCATCTAGCTCTACAGTTTAGAAGCCCGTGACCTTGTCCATGTTGCGGCCCCACACCTTCATCCCACAGGACATGCTTGGTTCACCTCCTAATTCCCCATACTAATTAACAGGCTCTCCCTCCTTGAAGGTTCCCAGGAGCCTAGCCATGCAGAAGATAACGTGAGCAGGACTCTCCAAGGACCGCCGTTTGCCCACCCAATGCTGGATTCACCCACCGTCTAGTTGTCCGAGGTAAGTTTTTCTGTCTTCACCTTAGTTACCAGGCTGTCTCCTGGTCTTTACACTAATTAATCCAGTTGCTCTGCTATGCCTCCACACGGCCTGCACAAACTGCAGCTCTCCTGCGCATCCCCTCTCCAGGACATCTGACCCTACGGCCAACTTGGATTTTAACTTCTGGGATTTGTCCCAGAACAAGTGAGAAACTGGTACCACTCCCACGTGTTCCCCATCACCGGCCTTGCGAGAGGCAATCAGGAACACCAGGGGCCGTAACAATGTGTATAGACTTGTTCCTTTAACTTGTTTTTCCCATACAGGTAAGCTTTCTTTTCTCTCTGGTGGGTGTCATAAGAAACTCTCCTAATTGTAACAGACACCAAGAAGTGTGCTCTGTTACTGTTTTGCATGCTCAAAATGAATGGGCATTTTTTGTGTACTGTCATTTCTTCACATACAGGACAGAATCTATGTGCCAGGTAGTGTAAATTAGCAGTATACACATAAAGGAGACCCGATTCTGATTGGGCCTTTGAGTACTACTGTAATACAAATATATATAACAACAACAAGAAAAATGACAATCCCAATTTGTGCATAAAGCTTAGAAGAAGAATTTATACAAAAAATTATCATGTGACTATATACATGTTAATGCACTAAATATGCAATTATATGTTCTAAGATAAATGGTTAATGCTCCACTGAAAAATGCCTGCTTTGCACTGAGACAAATCAATGTTAAGGCTTTTTTTTTTCCATCCAAAAGCCCCACTTCCACATGTTGGAATTGATGGAACTCAATTTATTTGCTTTTTAACAAGGAAAAACTGAATCAGTACTGCTGGAATTTTAATTTCAGGGTGGAAGAAGTCCAGGTTCTTTGTGTACATAGATTGCCAAGACATCTCCAACAAGTAGGGACTCTTAATTTAAAAAATGACCTTATATTTTAGCTGCAAAAGAACTTAACCTAAAATTCCAGAGTTGAATACCCTAAATTGTGGTGCGTCTGCCTCCAGATGCTCACTTTCTATTGCTTATGCCTATTCCTACTTTAATATGAGTTTCTTCCAGAAAGTAATCAAGAATTTCTTACATTCTTGTAGCATATATAGCATTAGATCCCAGGTACTATTGCATGAGTATAGTTTCAGTTAGAAGATTCATGCACACACATTTAAAACACAAGCACAGAAAGCAGGTTGTTTTGTTCTTTTATGACAAAAGAGTATGGACACCCTCAAATAAAGAACATATGAACACATCGTCATTCAATAACACAGAAAAATACCTGTGTACAGTACAGTACAACTCTTTTCCACATTTTAAAGTGGATGAATAATTTTAAAATTTCTGCCTCCAATTCTCTTAAACAAAAGATCAGGAACAGCTGAAAGGAGTCAAACGTTGGAGGCAAAAGTGCTTCAAAAAGGGTTGTTTATAAAGTTGAAACAAAAAGCATTTTGTAAAATGACCAAATCTCCATTTTGAATTGGCTCACTCCACACAAAGAATGGAAATTGCTGTTTCTGCAAAGGGTCTGTACTCCTCCCATATCCTCCTAGACAACAATTATTTCACTAAGCTCAGAACGCCCTTCCTTCTATTTTCTTTTACATTCTGAATTAACTACTTCTATATATCAGCACCTGCTGCTTCCCCATCTCCCTGCTGCTTTGTTGGATTTTCTCTTCCTTGTCTGGATTTCTTATTCTCAGCTGAATGTTCTAAAATGCTCAGTTGAGCAGTCTGTTTGGGCAAAATGCCAGGAAATGAAATCACTTATTTACCACTAGATTTCCTGCTATTCTGTTTGGCTTCCCTAGGAAACTCTGCCTCATCCCAAATGACTTGAAGACTTTGTTCCCTGAAGATTGTTGTTCTGTTGTGCTTTTAAGGATAGCTAGTAAGTGTGAATTTTCTTTGCAATAAGAAATCAGTAAGTCCTCACACAAAGTTTGTTTAGCTCAAAAACAAATAAAGGGTTCAAACACTTTAAAAAAGATGTAAACAAGTGTCAATCTCACCTTTCTTCAAGTAGTTTTGCCAATCTCTCCTCATATGTGGACATACAGAGTCATGCACAAAAATTTTCAAGGTTTTTAATACAAGACTAATGAGAATTCCCAATAATATTCATGTGGACAGGTAAAGGAAATAATATAGAGTGCTGAAGAAAGGTTGAACCCTTATAATCATGGGGTATTGACCAGGCTGTATATTTGGGATGGCAAATTCCTACCATTCTCCAATGGAACTTCTACTGATACAACTAAAAAATCTGCACAATGATCAAGAGTTGAGTATAATTTAAGTAGTAACTAAACACCAAAGTGTTATTATTTCACATTATTTTCAATACTTTTCAGCATCTTTAAGTTTAGAACGACTGTGTAACAGGGTGGCATCCTCGTCGGGTTGGGTCTCTTCCGGCCGCCCTGCTCCTGGGGTAACTGCCCAATTCACTCTTCTGTCACGCCTTGAAGGAAAAATATGAGAGTTGTTACTAAGGCTGGAGACTACCCATTACTCACCCTACTGGCAAGGATCTTAATACCCTCTCCAATCTCCCCTACATGGGTCCTGTGCCTTGCAGATGTTACTCTGTGTGTGCTACCTCTCCGGCAAACCAGGTACACAGTTGTAGCTCTACTCTACAGCCCCAGAGGGCCACGCACACACCACCCCTCTCTCACCGGGGTCCCATTCACTTTGCTGGCTCTCACCCAGCCTCTTTCGCATTGCCTTCTTTCTCAGGGCCACACTCGTACTGCCCAGCCTCTCCAGCTTCAGGCTCAGCTCTCTACCCTCAGTCAGCCCCAGCACAGTCTGTTGGGTGTCTCCCACTACCCTCACCTGAGCGCTGACCGAGCGATTCTACAACTGCTGGCCTATACTTCGCTCCTGGCCCCCAACTCGGCCACTATGTCCCCATTGGGCCTCCTCACTTGCCCACACTCACAGGGCCTCTACTCACTCACCTGCTCTAGTCATCGCCCCCCTCTCTCTCTCTGGATCTCTCTACTTGCCACCCCCCGGATTCCCGCTGCCGCCTGCGCGTGGCCCCAGTTCCCTCCTCTAGCCTGAGCTCTGCCTCAGGGCTCCTTAATGAGTTTGGGCTCCCCTGCTTGTCAGAAAACCACCAAAGCTGTGAGGCCGGTGTTATAAGGCACCCTGACCCACCCACTGTTCACTAGCCTAGCATGATAACTGGCCTGGCATTTCCTGGGGGCTCCCAGGCCCCTAGGAGCCCCACCAGACCCCCCTTCCCTGGCAGGGTGCAGTTTTACATCTTACCCAGAACAAGGAATCACCTCCACCCCATAGCCCCTGCCCTTACCTCCTGATATTCCCAGAGAGCAGCCTCTCAGCTTGATGTTATCTCCTTCTTCCTGCAGCAAACTTCAGCCCAGCTTCTATCCTTGGGTCTCAAAATGTCTGCCCTCCTCAGGCACCTTGCTGCTGCCTGTTAGGTGCCCTACCACAGACTGCCATCACTATTATTTTTGGCACCTGGGCAGTAGAGGAATACCTAGCAAGAGAGGAGGACACTAGAATAGAGGTGGGTGGAGGGGTTCCAGGCTCAAGCGACTATGGATCTGTAAAGATGGAGTGGTAGGAAGTGGCCAGGACCCAGCCACCAGGGGGTGCAGGTGTGAGGTGGGGAGGAGGCTCCAGGAGGTATGGCTTGCACTGGCAGAGGAGCAAGTGGCCATGACCTAGCAGGTGGGGCTGTAGGCAGACAGGCTTGAGGGTGGCACTGAAAGCCATGTTGAGCAACTATATAAAATGCCAAATTAATTCCCAGGCTCCCTCTTCCACCCTCTTCCTCCCTCTCCCCTAGCTCCAGAGCCTCAAACTCCCTTATCTCCATTCCCTGGCTACTGGGTTTTGGTCACTTCCTCCTGCTTTCATTCTCTGCACTGCTGCAGAAACTACCAAAGTCTTAAGCCCCTGTGCCTTTGTTCCAGTGCCTCTGCTTAGTCAGCACCTGGGCTCATGATCTCTCTTGCCCAACACTAATTATACAACTGATTGATGATCCCTACTTCTGTCTTTTGCTTCTACTCCTTCTCCATCCTTTCTTTGTGCATCTCCTCCTTTTCCCCCTCTGTATTTTCTTCTATGCAGCAACTACTAATTCTTACCCAACTTTGTGCTGCATTCTTGCCCTTCTACTTGCTTTCCATCACTAAAATGATGAGATATCAGATAGCTGTTGCCATCATCTGGCATTAGAATTAATAGTCAAACCAGATAAATGAAAGTAGCATAGTTTACACTTCTGTATCATTGTTTCAAGCTGCCTATAAGGTTATGAGGATAATACAAAATAGTTGTATACTCAAGAATAAAATTGTGTGTGTGTGTGTGTGTGTGACACAGACTGTATAAAATAGACCATAGGTTGAAACATATCAGGTTTCAAGAATTCACAGCTAGTGGTGGAATGAATAAACCAATGATGTAATAAACAAAACTTTCATGACTATTGGCTTTTTAGACCTCTACTCAATGAAAATGAGTTACTGTAGAAAAATCCCTGAGGAACTAGATTATTGTCAATGGGTTTTTTAATGTACTTTAATGCATAGTGGCTAGGGCCCTACTTTCTGGCAAGGACTGAATGATTGGAGTCTGTGTAACTAACATTTTATTTAAAGGTAAATGGTATTTTTTGAAATATAATAGGGTACAAATAATTTTTGTACATAACAGCTAGAGGGAGTGTGACACATAGAGTAAGAAAGGCAGAGTTGAAACAGAGTGGGGTTGAGTTCCAGAACGTTCATACTTTTTTGTTAAAGATAAATCCCATGATGTTTTTTCAGTCACTGCAGTTCATTCACCTCACCTTTCTCAAATATGAATTCAATTTATAGCAGTGATAGAAATCTATGCAACAATTACTATGAAGCATTATGCCTTGTTGCAGCAAAAAGTTCAATAACTGATAGTGGCAATGGAAATAGTTATTAGTAGACAGGAACTTGTATGACCTGTACTGGGTTATCTCTTCATAACGGTGTAAATCAGGCTGGGAATTACTGTAGTCTTTTTGAAAGATGAATAATTAAATTCTTGTAATCATGCAAGTTGTTACAATAGTACAGAAATTCTCATTTTCATTTCTTGCCCTGTTTCCTGTAAAGTAATAAAAGGAGGAGAGATTCCACTTAGTATTTATATTTCATGCTGAAAGATTATTTTCATTGTAAGAATGAGTGAGATTAAGGGTGAAATCCTGGATTCAGTGAAATCAATAACACAATGCTCACTGATATCAGTTGGGTCTGGATTTCCCCCTTTTGAAGATGCATCTGCCTAACAGCCATTTATAGACTATATAATTAGTGAATGCTTTTTTTCCATGCTGATGCATGATTTCATATGTGAAATGTAGATGTGCTGTATTTTATCAAGGATGTTAATCCTGTGTAGCAATGATTGGAGCTGTGATACCCTATCACAAACGTTCATTCTTTTGCAGCTATTCCTTTTTAAGAATGGTGTCAATTTGTGATAGTTCTTACTTATTTGGAATGCCTGCTAATGTTAGGAAATTTAGGGGTAAATTAGTACTTAGTCAGTACTTAGTCTGAAAGAAGTTCTATGGTCTGCATCCTGCCTGGGACACAAGGTGAGTGTGATTCCCCTGCTTTATAGCAAGTCCAAAGAGAAGCAATAGCTGCTCCAAGAGTGTAGCAAAATATGTAACTTGCTGTGTCCTGAAGGCATTTCTTCATTTCCCATTTGGGGTGGGAAGTCTCACTGGGTATTTTAGCTAGCACACATTTCTGCCATTCAGTGAAGTGCTAGATAATTATTTGTCTGTCTTGTGCAGGCTGATTCCTGCCTCCTCCAGTTCTACGTGCAGCTTCAAAACAGAAAATAAGTCAAATTAGTGTATTTCTCTTCAAGTTATTTGTAACAAAAATATATGCCCTCAAGCCCTTATCAGTTGTGAAGCATACAGACATATAGCTGATACATCTTGCCTAATCACAGGAAAATAATTCTGTCACCTGTAAAAATGCATTATTGAATCCATGCTAAGAAAATAGATTTATTAATGCATCATTTGATATTCTATGATTCTATAGTCAGTAATCAGCAGTTGTATAATGAAGCTAAATTCTAGAGCCCCCCCCACCCCCTTAAAGAGAATTTCCTAACCACAAAGCTATAGACTATTCTGCAGTACTTGTCTCTCAGTCTCCTTTGTTGAAGCTATTTTGCTTTATCTAAATACATAAAGACTGATTGGAGCAGGGATTGGATTTCTGAGGTGAATACCTTAACCACTGGGGTATGGAGTCATTCTTGCTCTCTCTTCAGCTTAGTGAATATTAATTTTTTCCATGCAAAAATTCGATTCAGCGGATTTTGAGAGTCACACCCCAAAACACTCCATAGCCTAATGGGGTGTTTTTACATATGCTCCAGGGGTTGGTGGGGGGGGAGCACTCTAAAGTGCCCACAGTGTCTCATGTATTGATGTCAGAGCCACCTCCCTGCAGGGGTACAGGCACCCATGGTTATTTCATTCTCCTATGGAGTGGGAGATATGGATTCAAGTCCTTTGAGACAAAGGAAGAATTTTAATCCTGACCTTTCACTTCTCAGGTGGCCAGCAGCACCACAACTCCTCATCAAGGTGTTTTATGAGAAAGGGCTAGCTTAAGAACGTAACTCCAATAGAGGATTCATGTCTGAGAATACCAAGTATATGGAAACAGTTTTCTGTAACCTGGAATTGGGTATCTAATTTCCTGGGGGGTGACAGAGAGGAAGAGGAAAGGAGGAGAAACATTTCCTATTGAGTGTTTTAGACCACTCTGTGTTCATCAGGCTGGCTTTTGTGGATCCCATTTTTAGAATCCTAGTTCAGGTCTGTGATGTGAACAGGGTGCCTTAGACTAGAGGAGGGTGCTGCAATGTTGAATGATGCTACATCTATAGGACCAGGTCAAATAAAAGTCTTAAGCACCTACAAATTAGGTGCTGCAACACCTACATTTTATGTGCCTGGCCCCAGGATGGGATCCAAAATGGAGCGAAATGGCTAGGCTCCCTACACAATACCTGGGAATTATCAGATACCTCAGACAGTCCACTTCCTTTGTTTGGCATTAGAAGTTCAAAATACATCATACACAAGAAACCAAAACTATGTATGCTAGTTTTAAATTCCAATGAAAGAATGGAGAAGAATAGATGTCTAAGATGCTGGTAAATGTGAGTAATGAATCAGTGGAGGATCCCACAGTGATGAGAGATGTATAAGAATGTGAAAAGAAAATAATGGAATAGAGTCTGGATATTACTCAAAATGGTAAAGAGAAAAATAAGAAAGATATGATAAACTGAAGCCTCGCCTATAGCTGAAAAACTGCACTGGTTTAACTAAAAAGATTTAAAGTGTAGACCGTTAATAACTTAAACCAATTTTAATCCTTTAACCAATTTCACTCGTGCTATAAATAATTTTTCTCCAGCGTTAAATGGTCTTACCTGATTAGAGTAATGGGGTTGCACCAGTTTAACTAGATGGAACGAAAGCAAATTTAGTTCAACCAAAATAAATGTAACTACACTAGAGCAGCAACTTTTCTCTTATTAATGAAGCCTGAGATACACTGGCGATACTCTGTGGGAGGAACATGTATGATATAGGTCTTACCTGCAGATGTGATTAGCCCTGGCAGCTCTAGCTGAAGTTTGAGAGCTGAGTGATTGTCCAACTGAAAATGTGGCTCTGTCTGCCTGCCTCATGCCTGATTCATGCTGCCATCCAGTTTGCTCACGGGGGTGTAGGATTTTCTTTTCCTTCAGTCTTTCAAACACATCAGCTTGTTTTAAACGCTACCATTTCCTTACTGCAGTGGGAGCTATTTGCATTTCAGCAAATAAAGGAGGTTAAGGTCAAACCTCATTCTTGACACATTTCCTCTGGCAAGTCTGTGGGAGGGCTGTGGCCTTAGATTGTTGTGAAAAGGACTCAGCTGGGGCTGTGCTTGTTTACTCCTGCAAGCTTTGTGAGTGCTAGCATTTGTTAACAAAAAGTCTTCTTTAGTGGACAGCTGGAAGAGGAGATGAGTGGAGTGATTCCCTTGTGCCTCTTACTGCAAGCCATCTACATGCTGTGCAATGGGGCTGGGCAGTCCCTCAGCAGCCACACTTGGTGCAGCAAGACCGGCACCTGCTACAGTATTCATGGGGCCACACTGGCTTTCCACCAAGCCTGGGATAAATGTGCTCAGCACCAGGGTACCCTGACCCAGGTCAGAAATACAGCAGAGTTGCGGGACATCCTGGCTCTTCTGAACACGGTCACAGCAGGCTCTGGTGCCTTGCTCTTTTGGGTTGGGCTGATTAGGAAACAGCAAGAGTGCACCCATCCAGAGCGACCACTGCGGGGCTTCTCCTGGCAGACCAGACCCCAGCAGGACCTCAAAGAAGAACCTTCAGAGCTGGACAAGTGGGTGAAAGAGCCGAGTAGCTCCTGCACCACCTCCCGGTGTGCAGCGCTGCAGGTCACTGCAGGACAACCCAGCCTGAAGTCCTGGGGTTGGAAGGAGCAGCGCTGCAATAAGACGACACAAGGCTTTATCTGTAAGTACCAGTACAATGGCACCTGCCCCATTCTGCACCCACAGGAACCCCTCAGTTTCATCTACCAGTTCCCTGATAACCTTCCCAGAGCCAGCAACGGGTCCAGCCCCCCGGGCACTGTTCTCAACATCACCTGCCCCAGTCCCCAGGGGGTTGTGCAGCTGGTCTGCCAGCTGGGGCAGGATGGCTATACATGGACAGCTGCTGAAAAGCCCATTTGCTTCTGTCCCTCTGGGTACCTAAACAGCAGCACCAGGAACTGTGTGGATCCCCATGACTGCTTCAGTGCCCAAGGCACCTTCCTTTGCATGTGTGCACAGGGCTTCCAGCTTGGCAAGGATGCAAAGTCCTGCACACAGGACCCCAGGGGCTTGACCACAGCAGTGCCTGACTTGACTTTTTCATCACTGCCAACCCTTGCTCAGGGCAGCTTGAATGTGCCCTCTACCAACTCCCCTGCCCACACAAGTGCAGCAGTGGAGATGTTCTCGTCCTCTTCCAACTACGTCTTCATCCTGGTCACCATTACTGTGGTGGTGCTGGTGATCCTGGTCATGACCACACTGGGGGTCTTTAAACTGTGCTTCAATAAAACACCTTTCTCCTCTGGCCAAGATGGCAGAGAGCCAGCAGCTGTAGCAGAGAGTGACCCTGAAGGTACCACCACACAGTCTAACTCTGAACACTCCCTGGAGGCAGCAGCCAAAGGCAACCAGCCAGGAGGAGACAGGGCAGAGACACCACAAGGGGAGCCCATACCTGAGGACAGAGCTCCCCAAAGGAATTAGGAACTTCCCTGAGCACTGTGGACAGACAGGGATAAATTTAAAATGAAACAGCAGTGACTTTCCTTCTTGTGAGTTGCAGCAGCTGAGCTGGCAGCTCCCAGTCCTTCAAATGGAGGCTTTGACAGCTTTCAGGAGTGATGGATTTGGCAGGGTTCCAAGGAGACATGGAAAATCTCATCAGATTTTTTTAAAAACATACTTCTATAAACTGTCATGCAACTTGGCAGGCCTGCACAGGGCACTTCAGCAACCCTGGAAGGAGATCCATGGGGTTTCTCTGGAGCAAGACTCTACTGAGGATTAATGAAGGCTTTGTGCAAAATTGTCAGACTTGGTGCCTGGATTCAGGCCCCTTTGTCAGTGGCCACTTTTCCAGGGATTCTGATTACCTGCAACTTTTGATTTCCCTGAAGGGTTTTAACACACTCTTTAAAAAGCAAATCACTAATGTAGATGCCTTTTGTAAATGCAATACAGATGTATAGGTGCCTGCAGACTTCAAAAAAGCAAACGGCGCTTTACTTTAAACTTGGTGCATTCCCTCAGCGAGCCCTGTGTATGACCAGAAGAGATAGTGTGTTACTTCAACCCGGCTCACCTGACATCTGTAAGGATTGGATGCACTAGTGTGGATTTTTTGCCACTTTTATCTAATAGCTGATTGAATCAACTTTAGCTAAAAGCACCAAAAAGCCCTGCTGAAGTGCCCGATCTGTACAAACGCTGCAGAGCCAGGTAATGCACTGCTTCTTCTAGTAATGCACTGCTTCTTCTGGTAAAGTACAGTTTGTTTGGGTTTTTTTAACATCTGCAAGCAGCCATAGAAGCCTGATTTTCAGAAGTGCTGATCACTTGCAGTTTCAGATAAGACTTCACTTAGGAGTTTGTGGGTTCATACAATCTCTGAAAACTGGCCTTTTGGTGCCTCCCTGTAAACAGCCAGGAAATGTTGGCCCATGTGCCTTATGTAATAAGAGTCAGTGCCGTAGCAAGGCACTGGGGGTGGGGGGCAAGGGGGACGACCACCCCAGGCACCAAAGCAAAGGGGCGCCAATAGGCACTGCCTAGGCTGGCTGGGGCGTGGGACAGAGCTGTGAGCCACTCATTTGGGGATGGTGTGGGGATGGGGGATGGGTGGTTCCTGCCGTTGTGTGCATTCCCCTGGCAACCCTGGGGGGGGGGGGGGGGGGATCTGTGTACAGGGTGAGGACAGGCTGCCACTGCGGGCTTTGCCCCAGGTGCCAAACTTTGTTGCTACAACACTGATAAGGGTAATCCCCTTTTGTAGAATATTTGAGTGGCATTTGCAGGATTTAATTTTGTTCTGAGCAGAACACTGGAGATATGAACCTTCGTCAGCTGGAGGAAACAATGACCCAAGCACTATTCAGACCTGCAGATTAAAAAAAATATTAAATTCACGGCTATGTTTAGCGCGTACACTGCTGTTGGGGTGGCAGGTTAATGATGTGTTGATTTCCTACTTCGGCTCATCAGGGAAAAGGATGTTTCAGAACCTAAATAACTGTCTAATTGTGTTTCTTCAGACAATGTTTGCATTTGTATTATATCTGATCAACAAAAAAATCTGTGGAAATGATTGCACAATTCCCCTTTTTAATTAAAGGTTTTCTTTTTTTAATTTAAACAATTTTTGATACAAAAATTGTTTTCTGAGTTCCAGAATTGAACTCCCAGATGTGGGCAAATTTTTCAAGATACATATAGAATTAGAAAGTGTACATGGGTCCAATTATGTCCCAGATCCTGCTCTCTTTAGCAGATCATCTTGGTGGAGTTGTCCCGGGAATGATAAAAGGAAAATTTCCTTCTGTGTGTCCTTCGTAAGTGAATGTAGTCTCTTCATTTGTGATTTCCCTTAGCAATTCCCAGCAGTCAGTTATCACTCTGATCACACAGCTTGCTTTCTTGGCAATTCAGAATGCTTATACTCACTTCCAATTATTGTGATGTTGATTCTCAATTGAAGTGTTAATGCTAGCTATTGATCTAAGGTCTATGAGTGCAGTAGGACACAGGTAAGCTGGAGTTCCTCCAAACCTGTAAGCTGTGCTGCACAAAAAATACTTTTGTTCGTGGAAATAAGTTTGAGCCTTGCAATGTATTTTTCTAAACCATCTCTTACATTCCTCTTTCTCTATAGATTGCCTTTTAACTTCCTCTTTTACTTTGAACCTCCCAATTCTGAGAACAGAATTAAAAAATAAATAAATATCCTGACTTTTTTTCTTGCAAAGGTGACCTAGAAAATGTACTCTAGTGTAAAGTGATGCTACTGCTAAAGTTTACCACAATTATATTTTTCAAAAGATCATGGAGTATTTAGAGTTTGTTCTCAGCCAATCTTTGGCACTCCAGAGGGGGGAACTCCTCTCCCCCTCCCCTCAGGAAAGGGGCATGACTGAACTCCTTTTGCTGCCTCCTGATTGGGGGATGAGCTCCACCAATCAAAACAGCAAGATTTCAAGCCTGGGCCTAAACCCAAGCTCCAAAAGGCAAGCCTGCTACAGGCCTTTGAACTTTTTAGCGGTCTTGCTCCCTCCTGAGTTAGAGTTTGTCTTTTTCATGTGTTTTTCCCTCCTTGTTTGTGTTTTTTTATCCATTTATGTTTTGGCATATCCCTCTCCCACCCCCTGCCCTGCAGAGGCAAACTTAGGGCTTCGGCAGCCTCCTCCAAGTCACTCCTGCTCCTTTTAAGATGTTCTGTTTTTACCTTATTTCCCTCCTCTGCCTATCTTTTTTACTGTTTATTTTCAAACTTTTGCCTGCTCCCTTACCCCCCCATCCAGACAGCCCTTCCCCCACTACAGGAATCAGAGACTTCTATTGTTAACGCTCTCCATGCCAGCCAGATCTAACACAGCCTCAGTCTGCAAAGGGATCTGTGTACCTCTCAAGCACCCAAGGCCTGTGACTCCTCACCTCTGTCTCTGTTAGGATGGGGGAATGCATCTGGGAAGCTACAAAAGCGTGAGATATCCCATCCAGGTCAACACAGTACAAGTGCTCTAAGCCTTGTAAACAAAGTGGTAGAGCATGGCATCACAATTTTTTTGGTGTTTTTGTCACCATGATGCCTTTGGATACCCTGGCCATAAGGATCCTGCTGTCTCCCCCCCTTTCCCCTTCCACCCTTTCTCAACAATGACAGGCTGACTGAGGATCTGCCACATTTTGGTAATATAATGAGCCCACTCATAGAATCGTGCTCAGCTCTAAGGCCCCTGAACTTGAGCATGTCCTGTCCTTCAGCAGACAGGTCATTATGATTCTGAAGGATGGGGCCAAGTCCTTGAGAGACACTTTGCAATATACACAAGGTGAGCACATGGTATATATATCCAAGGGAGAGACGGTATACTTTTGTTGTGGTAGTCCCATTTACCTGGATGGTCAATGTCTGCTGCAGAAGCAGACAACTTGATCCATGCACTGCTCTCCATCCACAAGGCCAT